TTTCTCCACATTCTTGTCAACACTCATTATCATCCATCTTTTTGATTGTAGCATCCTAGTAGTTGTGAAATGGTATCTAATTGTGGTTTTGATTTGCATTTCTCTAATGATTAATGATACTGAACATCTTTTCATGTACTTGGCCATTTGTATATATATACTTTGAAGAAATGTCTATTCAGATCTTTTGCCTATTTTTTGATTGGGTAATTTGTCTTTTCATTGTTGAGTTTTAAAGTTTCTTTATATAGTCTGGATACAAGTTCCTTTTTGGATATATGATTTACAAATATTTTCTTCCATTCTGTTGGTTGTCTTTTCACTTCCTTAATGGTATCCTTTAAAGTATGAACATTTTAAATTTTGATGAAGGCCAATTTAGTTTCTCTTTTATTGCTCATGCTTTTGGTGTCATATCTAAGAATGCATTGCTCATAAAGATTTACACCTATGTTTTCTTCCAAGAGTTTATAGTTTAGCTCTTACATCAGCTCTTTGATACATTTTGAGTTAATTTTTGTATGTAATGGGAAAAGTAGGGGGTCCAGATTCAATATTTTGCATGTGGATATCTACTTATACTAGCAGCAAATCAATGGTAATGGTACATTGCTATCATTAGTTTACTTTTCTTCTGAATAACTTGAATTCTAGCATCATTTAGACAATTACTTATTCAATATATAATACAATATAAAGAAAATAGCTTTGAAATATTAATATCATTATTACTAAATATTACAAGCACTGAGAGAAGTTTGTTTACCATTTCTTTGAACTTTTTTGTCCTTAGTCTCTTTTAGTGAGATACATTTTATTAAAACATTCTCTTCTAAAGTCTCTTGAATTCTTTCTCTGTATGGCTACATTACCCATTTAATATTCATTTAGCTTCAGTTTTTCTATTTAACAACTTCACAATTCATTTCATTTTGTTTGGCACATACATACGTGTATATACATAAACATTAAGAGAGAGATATATATACACAGGCACACACACAATAATATGTATTTTATATATGTATATTATATATCTTATTTTTTTTATCCCTACTTCCCTTCTGCAAAAGGCAGCCTGTTATATATTAGATATCTTTACATACCAGTACATTGACTTCTTTCTCATCTATTAAGTGGATTCCTATTGCTGGATATTGGGGTGGTTTTTAATTTTTTGCTGTTACATACAGTGCAACAGTGAATAGCCTTGTGTATTCTTGTACAGGTGTTTCTATAGTTTAGATTCTTAGAAGCAGAATGGCTGGCACAAAAGATAAGTGCTTCTCAAGTTCTATCAGGTGTTGCCCTGTTCATCTCCATAAGGATGTACTGTTCTCTGCTTCTGCTAGTAATGTACAAGATTGCCTTTTCCCAGAGTATGCTGTCAGACTGGGAGTTTTGCCATTCTTGTATCTCAGTGGAGTTACAGTTTTTTTTTTTCTTTATTAGTGATTTCTTCATGGGTTTAACAGCATACATATCAATATTATTTTTCTTTGACTTGTTTATGTTTGTTGCCACTTTTTCCCCTTGGATTGTTGATCTTTTCTTCTCTTTCCTTTCAGTGGGAAGGAAAAAATCTTTGTGATATGGTTTCAAATACATTTTCCTTGGTTGTCCGTGTTTATAATGTGTTGTACCAAACAGAAGTTGTTCTTTTTTTAAATTAATTTTTTACATAGTCTGATTTATCAAATTTCTTTTACCTGGCCTCTGGATTTTGAGTCATTGTTATTAAAAAGACTTTTCCTTAGTTAAAAGTAATAAAGGAATTTCACCCATATTTTCTTCTAGTGCTTGAGGGTTTTATTTTTTACATTTAATCTTTGACACATTAGGAGTTTATCATGTTGTATAATTAGTTAAGCCTCTTGGTACCTGTTGTCAAATTATTCTTCACATGAGTTTTAAATTTCCATTGATTATGAATAGGAGCTCCTGTTTCTCACCCTTGTTAGTGTTTGTATTATAATTTTAAATGCAGGTTGATTTTACTTATTTTTTTAAATGTCAAAATACATTATACAATATTTAAAAATTTCAGTCCATTATAAAGGCTCAGCAATTAAAACATGACACCAGCACAGAAATAATCAAGTAGAGCACTGAAATATAATGAGCATTCTAGAAACAAACATATATATCTAACACTGTAATTTATGATTAAATTGATATTTCAAATCAATGGGGAAAATAAGGCTTATTCAACAAATAAGGTGCATGGACCACTATTACTTAAAATAAAGCAAATATAGAGGCCTATTTCACACATTATACAAGAAATATTCAGGTGAGTTAAAAATCAATATATAATATCTAAGGAGTTTTAGGAGATAATGCAAAATAATATTTTTCTTACCCTGAGTAAAAATTTTCAAACCCAGAAGCTATCAAGTAAAATATTGACAATATGACTATATTAAACATTTAAGACTATACAGTAATATACATATAAAAAAAGTTAAAGGACAAGTAATAGAATAGGAAAGTATTTGCCACAAATCTAAAAAAGGGTTAATAGTCTTTTTTTTTTTTCTCTAGGGAAAAAATTCTACAAATCTTTAATCAAGAAATGGATAAAGAATACCAAAAAGTCATTTAAAGCTTTTTAAAAATAATAGAAACAGGCAAGAAATATACAAAAACAGGTTTAGTTTCAACAAATAAAGGAACAATTAAAATAACACATCATTGTCACAGTCAGATTAAGTATTAAAAATATTGGTAATATCAAATATTGGTGACTATGAAAGAAAGTGTGTATTCATAGACTCTTTTTCTTCATCTTAAAGCAGTCCCTTTAGCATATGTTGCAATCCTGGTTTGGTGAAGGTCTATTCTTTTAGCCTTCTTTTGTCTGGGAAACTCCTTATTTTGCCTTCCATTTCAATTGAGAGCCTTGCAGTAGATGCAGTAGACTGCACCCAGTAGAGCAGTCTTGGGTGCAGGCCTTTGTTTTTCATGACTTGGAATATTTCTTGCCATTCCCTTCTGGCTTGTAGTGTTTCTGTTGAGAAGTCAGCTGCTAGTCTTACCGGGGCTCCCTTATATGTTACTTCCTCTATCTCCCTTGCTGCCTTTAGAATTCTCCATTTTTCTTTGATATTTGCCATTTTAATGATGATATGTCTTGGAGTGGGCCTCTTTGGATTCCTCTTAAATGGTACCCTCTGTGTTTCCTGGACTTGTATGACTTTTTATCTCCTCCAGTTGGGGAAGTTTTCCATCTTTACTTTTTCAAACAGGTTCTCTATCCCTTCCTCCTCCTCTTCTCCTTCTGGTATCCCTGTTATATGGATATTATTATGTTTCAGGTTGTCCTGCATTTCCCTAAATGCCTCTTCATTCTTTTTGAGTCTTTTTTCATTTTCTTGTTCTGTCTGGGAGCTTTTTTTCTACCTTGTCCTCTAGCTCAGCGATTCGATTCTCTGCTCCATTTAGCCTGATTTTGATTCCTTCTATTGTGTTCTTCAATTCAGAAATTGTATTCTTCATTTCCTCTTGTCTTTTATGGATAGTTTCTATGTCCTTTTTCATACTGATAACATTTGCAGTAAGTTCCTCATAGTTTTCCTGTAGTTTTTTGTAACTCTCTCCGAGCTCACTGAGCTCTTTGAGCTTCCTTAGAATATCGTTTTGAACTTAATCTGATCGTTTACTTGCTTCTATTTCATTTATTTCTCTTTGTGGGGATTCTTCCTTTCACTTCTACTGGGGGAGTGTTTCTTTGTCTTCCCATTATTTGTGAGATTCTTCTTTTTTGCTTCTGCTTCTTCAGTTGATCTGTCTTGATTTCCTGACTTTGTGGTGTGAACTTCTATGGTGGGAGACTGCTGTTTTTTTTTCTCTCTGGATCGGCCTCTGATGAGGTCAGCTGTTGACTCTATCTGACCTTAGGCAGACTGTTCGAGACTTTCAGGAACCTACTGTCTGTGGCTGTCTCCTTCAGCTGTTAATCTGTTCACTCTGCACTTAGCAGGCCGCCTTAGACAGCTCAGGGCAGGACAGAGTCCCTCCTGGAGGTGGGGTTATTGAGTCCTCGCACGCTGCTGCCACTCAGGGGAGTGGTCTGCCTGAGACAGTGGCTGCCGCCATATGGGCGAAAAGTCAGCATCGGGGTCCAGCCAGCTAGTCTCTCAGTTCTCTCCCCAGTCTCCTTCCCCAGTCACTCCTCAGGTGTCTCTAGCCCACTCTGCCCCGTCTTTGCTGGAGACCAGGATAAGTGACTGCAAAGAAAAATTTATGTGTTGGCCCTTTAAACAGCTCTTTGCGTCTCTAGCCGCGTGTCTTTGGCAGAGAGCAACCCAGCCGCTATTCAAAGCTGGCTGTTATCTGTGTACTTTTTGGGTTCTGGTGCTTTAGGCTAGAGATCCCCCCCCTTTTGGTTTAGACCCTGCTCTTCTCAGGGGGATCCAACTGGCCATTTCAATATCCGCCTGGTGCTGCTGCCTGTGGGCTCCCTGCCTGCCTTCTCAAGTCTCTACCGCATTCCTTACCAGTTAGGTTGTGCTAAAGCTGATTCTTCTGTCTGTCCGAGGTAATAAGGCTCCTCTCTTGCTGTTGTTCAGTTGTTTGTTCCAGGTGGTTTCTCCATAATTTAGTTGTAATTCCAGGTTGGTTCTGAGAGGAGGTCAGTGTGACTTCCACTCCCTTCTACGCTATCTTGATTAGTGTGTATTATAATTTTATGCTGACAATAATATTGCCCAGTGTTCTGTATGCTTGGTTCCCTCATCTGTAAAATGGAATTATCTGCTCTTGTTGAAAAACAAAAAATAAAAAAATAGTGGCACTGAGGAATGAAGAAGTGTTATATAGAAAGTTATTTTAGTTTTATAGCATGTTACACATAGTGTAATAATTATAGGCACACAGTGATACTCAGTTGCAATACTAAGTTACTTAGTATTTAAATGTCCATATATTGACTTTTTTTTGGCAGATTTATTTCCCTTAAAACTTTGTTATTTACTGATAAATGTTGTTTATTTCCTCAGTTTGTAGAAGACTATGAACCTACCAAAGCTGACAGTTACAGAAAGAAAGTTGTGCTTGATGGAGAAGAGGTCCAGATAGACATTCTGGACACTGCTGGACAAGAGGACTATGCAGCCATTCGAGACAACTACTTTCGGAGCGGGGAAGGTTTTCTACTAGTGTTCTCAATTACCGAACACGAATCGTTCACAGCGACAGCGGAATTCCGGTGTGTTGGAGATAGCCTCCAGCCTCCAGCCTCCAGGAGGCTTTTTGTCTTCCTTTCACATGTCTTGGACTTAAAAGGAATTTGGGGCTCAGGATAGTAGTAGAGGGTTGAGCTTATAATTAGGAAGAATCCTTCTAAAGAATTTTCTGGGTTTTTTTAAATCTTGGCATGTTATAGTTCACTATTGCTATAATCTGTTTGGACTTCCCTGTTTTATAATAATCTCTAAGTATAAATTATCTTAATCTGTCCCTAAGAGGGACAAAGCCATTCCATACATTCAAGAACCCAGGGTTTCGTTTTCATGTAAATCCTGAGAGACAGTGATTGGTAAGAGTTAAGTATATCTTTTTAATAATTTTGCTAGAAAAGTAACAAGTTTGATCTGTTTTGAGGATTATGGAACATTGTCAGCAGAGAGAAAGATGTGAGTCCGAGTGACCATTTGCTGCTTCCATAAGGACTTAGTGTAGTTGAGTAGAAAGAGCCCAGCTTTAGAGTCCGTCTGGCCTGGGTTTGAATCCCTGCTACTTACCAGTTTGGTGACCCTGGGTGAGTTTACTTGGCATCGGAGACTCTGTTTCCTTATATGAAGATACGCTTGTTAGTGGATGAAATAAAATTAAATGATGCTTTAGACTGTAAATTCCATAAAGGCAGGAACTGTGGCCACCCTTGATTGTGTTATGTCCCAGGCCTTCTCATAGTGTGGTCACATGGTCCTTACATAGTAAGTGGAATAGTCATTCCTCTAATTCATTAGAAAATATGGTAAAGATACCTTAGGTTTATTTTGTTATAGGGAAATAGTAAGACATTAGGCATACTTCTTACGAGTATTCTAATGGAAAGTGTATTTTTCCCTTTCCTCCGTACCCTTCCCATTTTTTCTTACGCAGTTGTATTTTTTTCATCTATCCTCCTCATAAAGCTGTCTGTCCCAATGACTCTTTCCTTTAATAACTAGATCTAGAGTCTAACAGGGAATGAAAATCAGGGAAAAAAAAACACATAGCTGTTTTCATTCTTTAGCAAGTTTGGTTAGAAATTAAGGTGAAAATGAGGAAACTAAATATCCCCTCCAGGTTGGAAAGGAAGCACCAGTGAGCCAACGAGGAAGCCTCACAGGTGAACTCTGGTAAACCGGCCAATAAAGTGGAAAGTAATAAGGGAGTGGCTTAGAGTTGCAGGACCTTACAGGTTGAGTGTGTGTGCTGTGTTGATCAGTCAAATGACTAGGAGTCCTGATGAGAAGTCCTTTACTTTTTAGACTTCTTTGACATATCTTGAGGTTTCTGTATGTGGATATAGCCCATGGATTCATAATTGTGTTTGCAGCCACACAACCCTGTTTTAATGCCTCCTTCTGGTAAAACGGGACAGATGCGCACTACCATATTTTCTTCCCTTTCCTGAGCCTTTTGATTTCCTATTGCCCTTTGACTCACCATGAAAGGAAATGTTGGGTAATAGGAGAGTCATCTCCAGAGAATAAACGATGCCACCCTTGTCCTGTCTCCACTGGGTGAACACACACATGCCCACATACTCTTGCAGTATTTGTGTATTCTCATAGAGTTGGAGCAGGCTCATCTCATCTTGGAAGAAGGGTTTTGGTTACTTAGAGAGATTCTTAGAAAAGAAAGGATGTGACTACCTAAAAGTAAAAGGAAGGGAAGTTAGTTCTTCTGAGGTGAACTGACATTTAGATGCAAGTCTCAGAGCTGTCCAGGTTTCTGCTGTCATTGGAATCAGGTAGATTAGCTGAGACTTTGTGATTAAAATCAGTCACTTTATGCCTGTTAGCAGTTTTAAACGTAGCATTTCTGTATTTATCTTCCAAGTGGAAAGACCCCAACATAAAACAAATGTTAACATACCTTATTTTGAAACTTTTCCTGGACATATTCTATCAACTAGAGAAATAGGTTTTTGCTACAAGAGACCAGAACTTGGTACTTCCATTTTTGGATCAATATGTTTATTAATGAGGTAATTATATTCCTGTGCAAGACTAATGAGCTAGAGAGCTATCAGTTTTTGTTGTTTATAGTTTATATTGATCACATAACTTCTAAATGTTGAAATGTAGGGGATAGTGGTTTTCAAGCATCTTAACTTCTGTTCATTTTTCTTAAAATATTTACTATGGTGCATCAGTTAACTGTAATGAAAGAAGTCTTAAATGTATTTATTATAAAATGTTATCCTATATCATACAAATCAATGTAGATCTCCACAAAATACATTTTTGAAGGGGTCTCTTTGGGGATATATTGGAATGTAGAAGTAGAAATGTTCCCAATGGATCAGAATAGTGCAAGAGGAATATTTAATTTTTTTTAATATTTGGTTTTGATTAGTAACTTTAGATAGCTGATTATTTTTAGTAGAGGTAAAATTTAATGTACTACAGGTAACAGTTCTTTTTTAGAGAAGATGTTTTTGAAGTACTTTTTCATAGGCCTCGGCGTATTTCCTTTTTTTCACTTTGTGTGGAAGAGTAATGCGTGTTAAATACAATTACTGCCTAACATAACTGTCCCCATTCTGTGGCCTGTGACATTTACTGGGTCTAAATGGAACTGAGGGTGAGGAGGGGTGGGGAAGGCAGGTGCATGGACACACATAGATATCACCACAACAGAAGTTTCACAAAACCATACTTTACTACTAAAAACTCCCTCTGAAAAAAAAATTACTGGTTGTGATCCACTAAACTGATTTCATGACCTACTAATTGACTGCTACCTTCCATGTGAAAAACACTGGATTTCATTTCTTTTATTCTCACAAAGAAATCATACCATTTTTTTTTTCAGGGGACTTATTAAGCATTTTATGTTGAAGATACTTCTTTCAGGTTGTTTTTATCTTTGAGGTCCCTATGGTTTTTTTTCTTTTTTCTTTTTTACCTAAACATAAATTGGAGACCCTGTTGAAATGCAGAATCCTGGGCTCCTTTGCGAACATACTTATTACTTAGAACTTAGTACTTAGTAGTAGGGCAACTGTGGGGCCAGAAATCTGCATTTGTAATGAGCATTCCAGGTCAGTCTGAGCACCAGACTTGGAAAACCCTTGTGTGGCTTATGACAGGATCTAGGTTGGGAATGCGTCCTTGGGACACATTGTAAGCATAGCAACTTCTTTTGCCTTTGGAAAGCATTTCATTTTAGATGACTTTATGCTTGATGTACTGTCTTAGGGAACAGATCCTCCGTGTTAAGGCTGAAGAAGATAAAATCCCATTGCTTGTGGTGGGAAACAAGTCGGACTTAGAGGAGCGGAGGCAGGTGCCGGTGGAGGAGGCGCGGAGCAAAGCAGAGGAGTGGAGCGTGCAGTACGTGGAGACCTCAGCCAAGACTCGGGCCAACGTGGACAAGGTGGGCGCGCTTTCCACTAATTTCTTGGAAACAGACTTGAGAAACAAACAGCACAACCTAGACATCTCATCAGTTTGGTTTTAAGGGAACCATTTATGGAAACTAGGGTTTTTTCCAGGTCTCTATGTCATTATAATGAGAAGCACTGGAAGGGTTTCACACTTGGTTTAAAACAACCCAGAGTCCTTTCACTTTGTCATGAGCCTTGCTGGAGGTGCCTGATGTTGCCACAGCCCTAGAAGTATGGTGAAATGAGGCCATTTGTTTGTGCAGATTGTGCTGGAAGGGTGGGCATAAGTACAGCAAGTCCTCAAGTGATATCATTCCATTACAATGTTGCTGAGATGCATAGGAACTTAGCTCTTGCTTTTATCAATTAGCCTGCAGAAAGATTGGTTTCTTCAGTTTGCTTCAAGTCATATAACATACTCATGACACTTAGTAAGGACGTTTTTGTAGCTTCCCTATGCTCTCTCATCTTCCTTAGCCTGTTCTTCAGGCACAGGGCTGGCTGTGTTGCATTTAGGGAGTTCCCCAAGGAAACCCAGTGTGTCTTGATTTTGTTCTCATTGAGTTATTGGTTAGATTTACTCTTTTCACCTTTTGGACCACAGGCAGAGCCAAGGTGTTCTGTCTTTATAAGTGAGCCTCTAAATAGTATTTGCCCTCAGCACTCAACTCTCCAGGGATTTCTTTTCTCTTCCTTGCTGAACTTCAGCGTACTTTCTCTTTCAAATCTCTGAAACTAATGAAAGGATGGTCTTGGTAATGATGAACAGTGACAATTTGAAAATCCATCTACCAGCGATTGCTGTTGTTAGGACTTAGAAAAAATTAGGTTCAGACTGGTTCTTGTACAGCTAAAACAGCCAACCTAAAAGATGAGGCTTTCTCTGTGCCTTCACCTTGTTCATCAGCTCTTGCTGCATGGTTCACAGTCTGGTAAAATCTAAACCCATTTTACTTTGGCATGGAGCAGTGGGTATGTCAGCCCTGAATTATGCGGCCTCAGCAGTTGACTCCCCCAGATCACTGCTTATGTTTCTCGTTCTTACAGAGATAAAATTCACTTCTTACCTGAAGAGGGAGGGATTTGTAACCAAGCTTTACTTTAGCTTGAAGAATGCTAGAGGAACGTTGGCACCCTTCGAATGTTGCATTAGAAGTAGTTCACTTCAGAAGCACTTGGGCAGCACCTACAACATAAATCTGTTCAGCTGTGGTCTGCAGTGTGATGTTCACTTGTCAGCCCCTTTTTTCTTTGTACTGGTATCCCAGCTCTTATGTTGACTCTTATACTATTCCAAATCTTTCTTTCTATAAAATTGTTTCCTACCTGTAGAAAACACTTTGGAAATCCAGACATATACTTTATTTTTAAAAAGTCAGGAAGGCTTTCTCAGCATGGAACTGTTAACAAGTATTTTTGGGTGGGATGGGGTGCGGGAGGGGGCTATTGCATCTCCCCTTCCTCCACCTGATCAGCTTGACCTGCCAAACAAGAACCAGCAGGAACTTCTGACTGGCAGTATTGTATTCATTTGTAAACAATTTGCAGGACAGGTTGATAAGATCAGCCAGTGAACAACTTTGTCATCATTTTAAGTTGGACACAATCCATTCCTCTCCTCCCACCTTTTGTTAGAACAGAAAGAAAAACCTGTAACATTTGAAGCTCTTCACTGATCCTGTTATGGGTGGGGTGCTTTCCTGAGCACTGGAGAAAAGGGGTGCCTGCGCCAGTGTGAAGTGTTTTGGGGGAGCCCTCTTCTGTGCCCCAAGCTGGTGGTAAATGCTGGTGAAGTCCCACACTCAGCGAGCATGATCTTGCTTCCCACTGTGAAGATAAAAGGAGCTTGTGGTTTGTGGGAATGTACGATAAGAGCCTTCACATTGTCTCCTGCTTTGGTCCTTCTCTAGGAGAAATCTCAAATGTTTCTTTTGGGGGGCATAGCATATTTTGTCTACTTGGGTATAGTCAGTACTTTGGCACAATTCCTGGTAGCAGAGGGCAAAACCCAAACTATTGTGACAAATGATAATCTGTATCTAAATATGCCATACTGGCATTCATTCAAAGGACAAGGCTAGTCAGTTCTTGGTAAAGTTCCTCTCAGCTGATGTTGCAAGGAACAGAGGAGGGGCTGTTCCTCAGAATTATGGTAGAGGTATATGGGGGAGGGGTAGCCTGCCTGCCTGTTTGTTTATGACTCACTCTCCTATCCTGCTGCGCCGGTGCTGCTTTCTCAGGCCTCCTGTTGAGTTGTGCTGGGAACACTGGGATGCATAATGATATTCTTAACCTTTATATGGTCCTTATAAGGATTAAGTAAAATCCAGATACTTATATTATTTTCCTTTCCTGGTGGTTGGGAATGCTAGAAAGTCTGATTACTATGGTCAGTCTCAGTATTTGGGATGTCACAAACTGTAATGGACCTGTTCAGTGCTGTTTTATCCTTCATCATACTCATCAGAAGAAAAGGTTTTATAATCTCGAAATAAGCTGTTGAATGATAGTAGCCATATGATGCTTCTGTCCTTAGGTTGACCAGTTGTATGACAGGAGTTGCGATGTGTCTCTGGTGAATTAGAATATGTTTTTGATGTTAATTATTTTTATTTGCTCTAGACTTTTTGTTTTTGATGGCATACGGTTTATAAAAATAAGTATGGCTTTATGCTTAGTCTAATTGCTGTATTAAATCATTAAGCAACTTTTTCCTTCCTATTCTTTTCACCCCAGGTATTCTTTGATCTAATGAGAGAAATCAGAGCAAAGAAAGTGTCAGAAAACAAGGACAAGAATGGCAAGAAAAGCAGCAAGAACAAGAAAAGTTTTAAAGAAAGATGTTGCTTACTGTGAATGCCACAATGATGGATGAAATCGGTTGCCGCTAAGGACATAGGGTGGGGTTGTTCAGAGAAGACTGTGGTCCCCTTCTTGGTGTGTTCCCTGCTCGCCCCACCTTCATTCACGTAGACTTCTTTAAATGGGGAAAAATATTTGTGCACCAGTGGCTGGCAGAAGAAATAAGCCCCTTCACCTTGCAATGGATTGCCTACTTTGTCAGGAGGTTTTGGAGTTCCCTTTTCCTTCATTCTTCCTTCCCTCTCTTCGAGAAGTTTAACCATGTATCTAGTGCTAGAGGTAGGAAATAGTCTAATGTTAATTAGAATGAAAGAAGACTGTCATAGCATCTTATTTCCCCCCAATTTCATAACAGTAGCACCTTTTGTTTTGAAATAAAAATGTCTTACTAGGTTTTGGGAGAAGGGGCAGGGTAGGAGTCCCACAACACTTGTCAGGTTAACAGTAGGACTCAGAAAAACCCATTCAACTCTAATGATGCTGGAAAACTCAGATTTTGGGGAGGAGGGGGCAGGAGTACTTTCTCGGCAATACCCAGTGGATCTGAAGCATAGCTAAAAAAAATAAATTTGAATTGGGCCAAAGAAGTTAATACCAGGGTCATAAATCCTTCCCATATATGAAAAATGGAGGTGGTATTCTTTGTATTTAAGTATTGGCCAGTGATAGTCTATGTTGGCTATCTTCCGCTGGTCACATCCTTGTTTTGGGGGCTTCTTTTTAATAGACTAAGTGAAGACTCTAGAGTGGTATGCTTTTATAAGGATGCGGTTTTCTAATCAGATTGAAAAAAAAGTTCTTTGGCTAAATCCTCTCCTAATTGCCAGTCCCGTGGCTAGGCTGCTTTTCTCCGCTAGGAACCAGCACATTTCATCCTGGTGGCTTCTCTGCGTGTGGAGATGGAGACCACCTCTTCTTCAAGTGTAACAGGAGTTCTGAAGAATGTGATGAGTTAAAACTGCATTCTAAAATCACGAAGCCAGAGCCCATGCCAGACATTCTGCTACCTCTCACAGAATTGCTGAGTAATTATAAATTTAAAATTGGAAGTTGGGATGGATAAGCCATTGCTCCTTTACCTCTGAGAACTGGCTGCCGTTTCTAATTTTTTTTTTTTTTCTGAGCTATATAGAAGTTAGTTAGAAAAAGATTTTTATTGATGAGCTATTGTTACTCTTTCTTGAATCAATATTCTAAATTCAGCCATCAGGAAAGGAGCACTGTGATAAAAACCCAGTATTCACATTTCCCCCCATTTTTCAGAAGTGACATTTCACACATAGGTGCCAAGGGTGAATTGGGGTGAGGAGAGCAGGAACCTTTTGAACTTATGGTTGCTATAGAAATTGTAGAAATTAATGATCTTACTGGAAAAGAGTCCTGTATAATCTTCCAAAGAATCATGGACTTTTGAATAAAAAAAGCAGACTGTACTTTTTCAGGATTTCAGCCTTTTTATTTTATCCTTTGTCATACATGTGAAATGCAGATATTAAAGAAATTGACAGTAAGTTATTCACTGCTGTTCTTGTTTGGTGCTCTGCAATATCAGACAAACTTTAGTTGAGTTAATTCTCTGAATTGAAATATGGGAAATTATAAATACAAACAGTAATTTTAGCTGCTTCTTTCCCTTGAGAGAGATGACTACTTTTTCTTCTTAAAATTTAAAAAGTTCAAGGTAATCGCACTCTTGAAACCACCTAGTTCTTTTCATGCTACTTTGCTACCTGTTTGATATCATTTCTGGTCACAAGTAGGTAGATTTGAATGTGTACAGATAAATTAAGGATGGTATGAATTGTTTCATGCTGGAAACTATTCCATAATTAATACAGGTATATGTCTATCGGTATATGTCTATCAGTATATGTCTAAAATTATATTTAACTAAATAGCAATCAGAAATGAGTCTTCCTTACAAAATAATTTATACATATGAGATTCTTTTTCATAGAAAAATAAAGAGGCAATGTTATTTAAAAGTCTGAAACATAGTTGCTTGCTAAGTGATTAGCTCTTGTGTCCGTGGCCTGGTGTTATTTTTCTAAAGCATTCTAGAAATGTGTGAGCACCTCCTGGAGCCAGGCTCTATTCTAGGTGCTGGAATACGGTGTCGAACAAGACAGGCAAAATCTGTGCACTCTGAGACCTTATGCTTTAGTGAGGAAAGAGACAAATCAATGAAAATCAGGGTAAGTGCTTTGATGAAAATAAAACTGGGTAGTATGATAGGATCTATTTCTGGGCAGTAGAGCTGCATTCAGTTTGATGGCCAACAAGCTTCTCCAAGGACATGACATTTAAGGTGAGACTTTGTGACCTGCAGGAGCCAGCCATGGGAGGAGACAGTCAGAGGGTACAGGGAGCTTTCCAGGCCAGAGAGCAGCTGGTCCAGAGGCCCTGAGGTGTTCAGGAAAAGACTCAAAACCAGTGTATGTCTGGGGTATAATGTGGGAAAGGCAGAGTAATAGGAAGCAGATGTAACAGTCTATGATTTCATAAAGTGATGTAAGAGAAAAAAATAACCAGGTATATATTGTCATACAAGCATCCTATGGCAGCAAATCTAAGACACCATTGATTGTAAGACGTCATCGTGATGTATGTACCACAAAGAAAAGTCTACCAATTAAGTGACTCCATCCTGATTTCAGTGACATAAAAATGAGGAAAATGTTTTAGATTGGATGAATTATGATATATAAATTTAAATGACAACTAAAATTCACCTCTGTTGGTCTAGAAACTGCATTATAATAGAATAACATTGAAGCCTCACAGTGGATAAATACTAACAGTGGACAGGCACTAATATATACGGTTAATGTTATAGTAGTAAACTTGACTTTGATATATTCATTTTAAAAATTCATTAAATTGTTTAATCAAAATTGTAAGTGCATGTGCTTTAAAATTCTAATGGTAAAGTTCTAGAAGTGCTTGTAATGGAAGCTCTTTAGTCTTGCTCTTCCCGGCCCTAGCCCTGCTCCTCAGAAGTCCTACTGAGCCATTTCTGTTCTCAGATCATTTGTTAGGTGCTCCTGTGTTTCTCAATACTGGTCTTAGACCATTATTTCTGGATTTTCCATCTCAGATGTTCCCAGTGATGACTTGATGTAGTAGGTGAGGATTTAGCTCACCATTCCCCTCACTGCCATCTCCATTTTTGACAGTAACATCACTGTTTTTAATTCCTCTCAGTGACTATATACACCTTTTTAAACTATATATTTAAACTTACGTTTTTTATTCTGTCGCCTCCTGACAGCATCCCCCGGCTCCCCACTCAGAGGCGAGGCCATAGCCCTCACTGCTGCCCGGCATCGCTTGCTCTTGCCTCCCAGCTCTGCTCAGCTCTTCCTTCTCTGTTACACCTTTAACTTTTACATTATCAAGGTAGATTACATGAATATTCCCTTCTGTTGCCATAATTCAAGGTTTTCTGCTTTATAGATTAATTCTCAAAGTTGAATAACAGCCATCAACAATTTGATGATAGCGTATGTAAGTCTGACTCAAGGCTGAGCCGGCTCCGCCTAGTTGGTGCGCCCTGTTCACCCCGTAGGTCTGGTGTCACTGCACGAACAGGGCTCCATGTGCACAAGTGGCCCAGTGGGCTTTTCCGTCAGTTGCTGGAGTCACATCACATTTTAGTTTGCTTCATCGTTAGACTGTTTCCTATGTAGTGTGCCCCTTTCTTGCAAGTTTGATTGCTTTTTTTCTTGGTGAGAGCATAAATATGTACAATCTGTTCCCTGATGCCACTTTTTCCTTCTGTTGCTTGAGGTCTGCTTCCATTCTCCTGAAGACTTCCTACTTAGAGCTCATTGATTGCCTGATCAAATTCAGACTGATTGCTTTCTGGGTCCTCTGCACAGTTGCTATACTGAAGTTTGTTTTCATTGGACACTTAAGTAAACCCAGTTTCCCGAGTCTCATATGGTAAAGGGGCACAGCCAGGGCCCCCCCAAAGGGTATTTGTAACAGGGTCCAGAAGTTGGGGTGTCCAAGAAAAATATATTCTCCCCACCCCAGGACAGGCCGCCATGGGAGATGGGAGACCTGGAGCAGGGCCATTGAGAATTACTTGGCATGTCAGTAACAGCTGGATAGCTTCATTCCTCATATGCAAAGATGGTTGTTTTGCACCTCAACAAGGCTAACCAGGAAGGTTTGAAAGACTACAGAATGTAACAGAGAGGGAGGAGGAGAGACGGGGCCTTTGGGAAAGACAAAGGGACACAGACTCTGGGGAACAATGTGAAGACCATGTGGGAAGAAAAGGAGAGAAAAGACTTGCTAGTGGGCCCTGAGAAGGTGCCACATGGTTTTGGATTAAGAACTGGGGATCCCGGCAATGCAGCAGATGGTGCTGAGAACCACGAGAGGCCTGCCTAGCTGAGCCCCGGACTTCTTTTTCTCCTGAAGGACGGTACCCCTGACTGGCCTAACTGGGCAAGGGGGGGAAGGCAGGACTGTGTGTGTTGGTGGGCATTTTAAATGGTGGCTGTTTTAAAGGGAGTTTGAGATTTAAGAGCAACATTTAGCCATTAATCAAACCTGTATAACTTTTGAGTAAATAGTTCCTTTTCACCAAACTCTGCCATTGAGAGCCATAATTCCAAGGGTGGCAGGCAAAGGACCTGCGCCTGCAACTGAGGGACCCTGGGGAAGGGGGGGGTCATTGTTTCGTTAATAGCATCTGGGCACCCCTCCCACGGGTCCGTTGTTCGATAACAATATCTTCCTTTCTTGGTTTTACCCTTATTTTCAGAAAGGGCGCACTAGTGGTAAGCCTGCAGAGTTTTTAGTACGTGTGACAATATTGTTACTTCTGCCCTTTAATTGCTAGTTTGGCTTAGAATTTTAGGTTCAAATAATTTTCCCTTTGATCTTGGGAGGCTTTGTTTCATTGACTTCAAGCAACTATTGTTGCTGTTAAAACGTGTTACTCTGATCGTCATCTCTGAAATAGATGCCCTGCCATCCCTCCCCTGGAAGGGTAGATGATACTGTCTTTGTCCATAGTGTCAAATAACATAGTGCTGGATCTAAATGTGGGTTCCTCATGGTCGTCCTGCTTGGTACTCAGTGGAATCTTTCAATGAAGGCTCACACATTTCAGCTCTAGAAATGTATTGCTGTAATTTCTGTGATTAATTCTTCTCTTCTGTTTACTGTTCTTTTCAGAATGTTGTTACCAGCTTTTGTACCTCCTAGATTCATATCTGCCTCATCTTTTCCTAAATTTTTCATCTTTCTTTTCTTTCAGATTTCCCCTTCCTCTCTCCTTCCTGTCTCTTCTGTTTCTCCCTCTCCTTTTCATTCTCTGAGACTTATCAAGCACTACTGTAGGTTCTCAAAATACAGCAATGACAAAAACATGAAATTCTTTGCCCTCTTGAAGCTTGCAGTAGTGGAACAGACTTTATTTTCTAACTCGTGTGTGTGTGTGTGTGTGTGTGTGTGTGTACACAAAAACTTGCTTTGTCTCTAATTGTTCCTTTTCATAGCAACTGTTACAATGGGTAGGCGAAAAAGTTCATTTGCTTTTTTCTGTGAGATGGCTCTAGTAGTGGTTAGTTGCCTTTAACTTCATTCAAAATAATTTTGTTAGATTGTATTGTGACAGCTGTCATATCAGTGTACATTTAAAAAAATCAAAGTTGATGAATTTTTCGTAGCCATTTTAATATTGAAGATGGAAGAAACTAAACATTTTTGGCATATTATGCTTTATTATTTCAAGAAAGGTTAAAATGCAACTGAAATGCAAAAAAAACATTTACTCAGTATATAGAGATGGTGCTGTGACTGAATGTGTCAAAAGTGGTTTCCGAAGTTTTGTGCTGGAGATTTTCTTGCTGGACAATGCTCCAGGGTTGGGTAGACCAGTTGAAGTTGATAGCGATCAAATTGAGCCGTTAATTGAGAACAATCAATGTTTTTCCATGTGGGAGATAGCTGACATACTCAAAGTATCTAAGTCAAATAAGTTACTGGTGAAAATGAAAAATGTATTTTTTGCTTTATGGAAAAAACTAAGCTTTTCGGCCAACCCAATACCTAAGAGGGAGCGGAAAGATCGCCAGGAGCTCCATGTACACAAAGTGGGGCTTGTGGAATAGCAGGCTTGACTTTGGTGTGAATGTAGAAAACAGGCATTGTGCTGCTGACCCCTACTGCGTAAACCAGGGAAGGTACACTCCGAGAAGCCAGCTGCCAGGCTGGCCTCCTTGGTACTCCTGGACCCTATTTCTTTTCAGGGAAGAGCTCTGGTGACAGACTCAGTGTTTCCTGCAAGAGTAGGGACTGTTTCCTATACAGACTTCTAATTACTCTCACTGTTTTTCACCACGCTCCATACTATTACTGCTCAGTCTGCTGAATTGAGTTTGCCTACAACTCTAGGCAAGACAATGCCCCTCTCTCTACAGCCCCTTTGTCTCTTCATCTACCAATTTCCATCTGGATCTTGCCGTTCATAAATTTGTCACACTCATGCATTGACTAATGGCTCTCGCCTGCTTTCTGGGTCCTCCAGAGTTTTTATTCATTAGGATTTGAATGGAGGCTTCAGAAGGCAGGATGGACGAACATTTGTGTGCAGATTTCCATTTTGACCTGATTTCATTTTCACAAATATTTAATATTTCCTTTTTTTTTTTTATTTTTGCAGATCAATGTTGAATAAAGGGTAGGGTGAAACCATTAATTTGACCTTACGCATTGGACATCTTGAACTTGGGAGCCCGTGGTAGTCTCTTTTTCAGGAGTGTGGACCTCACCTTTGGGACGAGACCTGGGTCCGGCCAGTTGTCTTCTGTCGACTTAAATTGAGGGTTTCACGGATTTTCCCTGAGCTTGGTTTGAT